CTTATTTTTTTATTTCATTTATTTATTTATTTTTCTAAATATTTTTGTGCATTTTTATCCCGCATACATTTTAATACTTTATAAATCACAAAAAAAGCTTTAACAACTCAATTTAGTTGTCACATTCAAGTATTTGCAACATGTAAATAGTCTCATAAGCCAAGTCAATTTGCATAGTTTTAGTTTATATGCAATTTATTATGCCAAATGACTCACTTGCATTGCTTTTGTTATAGTTTTAACTTTTCAGTTTTTTTTTATTGTTTTTGCATTCTACCCACACTCAAAGTCATACCAATAATTATCAAATGGCAATATGTAATTACTTTAGGCATTTGAAATTTTTGTAATTGATATCTCAATTGGCAGGCCGCACTTAAACATATACACACACATGCATACAGTAAATCATAAATACAGCAATTTGTTTGTTTGTATGTGTAGCTTCAATGTTTGTCGTTGTTTTGTGGACAGGTAATGACTTCAATTATTTTAATTCGTTTACAGTTAGTTGTTCTTAACAAGCAAACAATCACACACATACACGTGCAGACTCATAAATACTTACAATTACTTGCTGTGCAGTTTATATTGGTCGGTTATTGCAGTAATTAAAATTTGTGTTAGAAAATTGCATTGGGTCAGGGGCGCCTATTTTCAACTGCACCCTCTTACCCGCGCACACATACAAACATACAGTATTGTTTACAGCGGTATATACATATATTTCTACAGCTGCCTGGCAACCGATAATGCAGTTTATTTGTGCTGTACTTCAAAATATTGAATAATAAYACTGAAAAATTACAACAACAACAAATAAAGCAGCACAGCAAAACCAATACTTATATTGTTACATATACTATTTACCAATACACACTTACATTTGCATTTGCCTACATTAACAACTGCATCGTGTAGGATTTCACCAAAAATCAAAAGAACAACAAAAAACAAGTAATAACGTTGATTTTGGCTACCACGAAGTTATAATACCCTTCAGAGATGCATTTTTTTTTTTTTTTTTGCATAACAGGATCTAAAGAGATATTTATCTTAATTTTTTTCGGTCAGTTTGTATGACAGCTATATGCTATAGTAATCCGATCCCAACAATTTCAACAGAGATTGTGGTGCTGCTTAGGACAAAACACTGTGCCGCATTTTAGAAAAATATCTTGCCAAACAACAACTTGATTTTGATAAATCAATTTGTATGCCAGCTATATGCTACAGTGATACGATCCGAATAATTTCTGCAGAGATTGCATTATTGATTCAGAAAATAATATATCTTGAATTTCGTGCAGATATCTTGTCAAATATAAAAGTTCTTCATACAAGGAGGTTATTTTGATCGATCAGTTTATATGTAAAAATCCGATAGCGACGGTTCCGACAAATAAAATGCTTCTTAGAAAGCAGAGCACCTATAAAAAATGTCAGATCAATATTTCAAAAATTGATAGATAATTTCGGGTATATATATTTATGTATGTTTGTATATACAAGTATTTTAAATAGTCTTCATGTCAAACTTAACCAAACTCCTTGTTCAGGGCATAAAAACATTCTAAACACTTCATTTTACCGTCTAAACACCAAATGTGTTGCGCTGTCTAAAAATATAAAAGTACCAACAAATTATTTTTGAAGCCTATTATGAAAATATTTTAATTACAAGCAACTACAAGCCAACGTACACGCTCGTACTCAAACTGGTACCCACACAAACCGATAATATTCACTTATCTATTGTAGGCACGTCATTCGCAAATTGCCTGTTTGTATTTTGGTGGTAAACAATTTTCCGAAATTTTGCCAAACTTGTTTAAAATGAGCGAACAATTTTGTTCATTAAAATATCAAAAACCGAAAAAAAATCTCAAAAATGAAAATCGTTGTGAATTTATCACAGGCGCCAGCTTTTGCAGAGCAAGTTTTTGGTTGTGATTTTTTGGTTTGTATATGCTAAGCGTATACACTGTATGCGTATCGAGTTCTTTAGATTGGTTTTAGATATACTATATTTATCTGAGTTTTCAATGTCTAGACATCATTTCTTATTATTATTTCGAGTTGCGAAAAGTTAGTTCTGATCTTTTCATATGTTTTTACTGCTCCCTCTTCTCTGAAAACTTTATTAAGCGGACCTTCGAATGAAAATGTTCCATTTAAAACCAAATGGTTTTTGTTTAAAAGCCCTTAAAGTACAGGTCGATATCTTAATACCGCTATGTTGCATTTAGAATAGTCGATAGATAAATAAATAAGGATTGCACCACCCTCTCCTAAGTCACAACCACTCACTTAGCCCCAGCATATTAATAAATTCCAATATATTGATAGGCTCTGTTGTTACGATCTGTTCTTTTTGAAAACAAGGATCTAAGAGCATTTAAACTACGGTTGCAGACTGTTGAGCAGTCAATTGGCAGGTACTTGATGGTTTCGGCACCAAGTCGCTGAACCGTCACTTTGCACAAGAGACTAGGCCCATGTTTTATAAGTATTTCATGAGCTTACAGTGGCAAGTGTAGAAAGTGACAAGTAGCCGGAGTTTGTCCCTTGGGAGGTTGATTATATATATATATATTTAAACCTGTTAGAGCTGCAACCAGCCGCTAGGGACTTGACATGGCGCATGCCTTGAAGTTGTTGTCAAT